CTTCAACCATGGTAATTTAGATTTATCCCTCTACATGTCTTTCTCTATTTTTAATGACCTCCATAATTTTACTCTTTGATCCCTAGTTCTTCTCAACCTTACCTCCTAACCACCAATTGTACCTACTCATAGATGCCCTATCAATTGAAACAAAGAGACTACAACTTTATCCGTAGATACACCTTACTCCAAGATATAATATCCACTTTTAACCTCTCTAGTTTTATTGCTAAATTAATGCTCGAATAGCCTCTAACTTTGTACTCCTCCCACATGTCTTAAGTAAGATTCATAAAGTCGGTCTCTTTTAGGGTCATGTTGAAGTGTTGAATGGTTTTGGATCTTAATCTACATTCAACATAAATAAGCCCATTGGGTAGTGGTCCAAGATACCTTCCTAAATGCTAAATTGGTTCCTAGTGTTAAAGATCCATAAAAGCTCCTATATACTAGAACCTATCTAGCCTACTTATAAAAGGTAACACTATAGTATTGGATCATGTAAAGGTCCTATTGCCTATAGGGATGTCAATCAAATGTAGATCTTATACTAAACCACCTAAGTTTGACTCTCCCTCAAATTGATCCCACTACTAATATTTTCTATTCCAATAATATCGTATTACACCCTTTACATATAACAACTCATCCCTATCGATTATTTCTTGTATAACATAACCCAAGCTTTTTCTTTCTCCTTATCCTCGCATGGGCCAAACACATTTACACAAGAAAACTGCAAACTAAACTAGCTCATACATCATTCAATAAGATAAATTATATTCAATCCTCATCTTCTCGACCTTTAACATCTTACTAGTGCACATGCATAACAACTCATCAGTCGTTCTCTCAGCTAAAAAAAAAAATCAACATCCTTCATGTTTTACATACTAATCAAAGATATTTCTACTAATCTTGACTTCGTTCCTAAAGTAAACACTATCAAATGCTTAAGCCTCCTAATTTATGTTTGAATGACCGTAAGTTTTTCTCTTTTTCTAAGCCCATTCATATGAGATAATTAAACAAACAATTATATTTTATATGACATAGTAATTAAATAGACACACAAAATTATGAAATAAACTACATATCTTCGTATGGCAATTTACAACAAGCCTCCCACTCTCATTACTCAAGCTCTATTATTATTTTAATAGCCTCTTCCTTCTTGCACTTGAATATTATATCTAAACTGGCACTAAGAATCCTACCTCAGTCTTTCTTTACATAACCCCATTACTATTCTCGATATAAAAATTCGTGGTCTCTTCAGAGACTGAACCCTCTATACTTTTAGTCAATGTTGACTTTTTTCTTCTCCTTCCAATTCCATTAGCCAAAAAGGCTTTTGAGTTCCGTCTAGCTCATGCAGACATATTCTATATACACTTTTACACTCTATTAGACTCAACTATTTTTCTTATATATTATTTATGTCTCCTTAAGTTTTTATCCAAAGCCAATTAATTTAAGATTTATGAAACTCTTTCCCCACTTTTATCATCCTCTAGCATGACTTTTCTTTTTTTTTTTCATTCTTTCTCCTTTTACTCTCTTCATTCCCATTACATTTGGCACTCTTGGTGAAGAACCTCCAAGACCATATCCCTTATGTCTATGATCAACGAGTCTTGTTCCATTGGCTCACTTAGACTTTGTCATAAAAAAATCCTCAAGATCACGATCAAAACTTAACTCATTCCTTATTTCAGCCCATCTAGCTCGACCCACTTAGAGAACCTATTATAAATAAGTTCACCATATTATTGTTTCTTGTTAACTCTCTATTTTTATTTCCATCATCCTTTTTGTTGTTTTATATACTTGTCAGAGTATTGTCCTTTCATCCCCATACACACACATTATTTTTCATAACGTTCAACCCCTCTCAATGCGACCTTCAGTTCTCCATCTCATCATCCTTTTTCTTGTTTTTGGTAATATATCTTCTCTACACGAGTTAAAGATCTTGTACTTCTAGTGTCTCTTCACTTGTTTTTTTAACTTCTTTTTTATGTTTATTTCCAACTAAAATAAATGAATCTTTATAATGGTTAGACTCTTATTCATCCTCCTCAATACACACAGTAAAGGTCTTCATATAAAAAGGAACATCTACCACCCTAACAAATTTTGAAGTTAGTGTATTTTCTACCCTATGCTTCATATTGTCGCACTTCTCATGTTTTATATCGTCATGGATTTATAAGAACTTCCCTAAGAAATTTCTATCTTAAAATAAAGCCTACTATTCTAGACATATGAAAGGACACTTATAAATTTCATCTAAGTCTTGTTTATGCTCTCTTTTATATATGGGCACACCTTCCTAGCATATCTATTTCTCTACACTTTTCATACTCCCACTTTTCCTATTAGTCTTTCTATGGTCTCCTAGTTGTGATATATCAACTACCATCAAAATCTCTTTTTATTTCTTTACATCAAAGACCTATTTATCCTCTCTTATAATGTTCTCTTTAATCTGTTGTAAATTATAGTTTCCTTCATATCAAGCCACTACATATCTCCTCAGTTATCGTACCTCGTCTTTTAATTAAAACTTTGAAATTGGAGCATCGTAGCTCACCAATTAAACCCTCTAATGGCTAAACTTATGACTATTAAATGTGTCCCTAAGCAACTCCACATAAAATGTTGCCTCGTTTGCCCTGTTATCATTCTAACCTACCTCAATCATCCCTATCATGTATTCTTAACTCCTTTCTTGTAAAATATTATTCCATCCCCTTGCTCTAAACCTATTTTGCATCCTTCCCTCTGCTGTAACTTTTACCACCTATTGTTCTCCTATAAAGAAGTCATAATTTGCTCTTTGTACTACCCTCTTTACTTCCTTGATAGACACATACTTGACATATTCAAATAAATTCATGTATGAACCTTTTTCTTTTTTATATACATATGAATTAATCCCTCACTAAGCTATAATTGTTAAATTATTGCACTAGATTATCCATCTTAGTACTTAATAGAATATTATCAATAAAACTCAAAACAAGATTTTTCATCCATTTCGTATGCTTTTTGAGTCCTTCTTATGGCCATTCTCTTTGTAACTTTCTCTAAACCTCTTTTATGATTGATTCTCCATACTTGACTCTTTATTTTTTAGATTATGATTTTTAATCACGAAAACAAAGAAAAACTTATAAGAATGTTAGACATGTATTTACTTGTTAATTAAGACATGCATACTTAGAGGAGCATGAGTAATAAAAGGTCAAGGAATGTAAAGAAAAGCTTTATTCATGTAAAGGGCGATCATAATTCACAAATTAAGCTCCTCCTGCAACTTGTCTTTTGCAATGCAATAAGAATTAAAACAATATATAATTTTATTTAAGGGTCTCTTATCACAATAGTAATTCTAGAACTCAGAATATTTAGCCACAAAAGATAGTATAACATTTTAGACAAGTAGACCTTGGTAGAACCTAGAGGTTAGATAATCCATGGTCCATTTTTTCTTGTGGAATATGCCTCTATGAGATGCTTTTATATCTTCAACTTCACAATTATATACATATGTTTTTTCGTACCTCTTCATTCACTGCTTAACTATTTTTATTTAGGTTTATTTGAACTTAATGAGGCACCTTTTAATGTCCATAGAGGCTTGTATCTGTCATGATTTTATCTTATAGTAGGTTTTCCTCCTGTATTTACTTGTTTAAGAAAATGAAAGGTAAATATTATTTTACTATATTGCCCAAGGATAATTCTATCTTTTATGACTTGAAGTCCCATTGTGAGCCCTAAAAAACTAATTATTTTTTATTGATTCTTCAAAAAATCTAACCCAGACTTGCCTCAAGAAAATAATTTTATCCGAATTATGTAATATAAAAGATTTTAAAGTCAAGATTAATTAACTCATTTGTTTTCACTATATAATCATGTAACTAAACTTAACTTGTAATGTATCTATCATTATTGCTTGAACTATATTTTTATAATTACAATCTCTCAACCATAAGTTCAATTACAATAGGTAGTACTATGAAATTAATACTATGTATCCATACATCTCATTATTGTAGGATCAGGAAATCCATCCATGCATCTCATTATAGTTCTTCATTTCACTACTTTCTCATCAAAATTAATCTCTTTGTGAAATTAGTCGAAGACAATTTACCCAATATGTTAACAAATAGGTAAAACTTTTTCTAAAAGAATCAAAATTTGAAACTTATTATAGAGATTCGCCTACTTACAGAATGTCTCCCAGGAAAAACCCATTAAAATTCTGAGTCATATTTCAACAGGTTTTCCACCAGAAAGTCTGGGTTCTGCATTATTAAAAATAAACTCATACATATCTGAACAAGTCTTTCTTAAAGTGAAGTGTATTAAATAGCTCTGCTACCAAATACCACCACCAAATGTCTGCACCCCACTCCCGTATCACCATCTCACCAACAATTTGTCCAATATAGTTAAAGATATCTATCTATATATATATATGTATAATGGGTAACTGGTAGTAACCCATATTCACCAATTAATCTACATATATATATATATATATGTTACCTCTAGTTTCACTTTATTTGTTTGGTATATTAAAACTCATTAATATTACAACTTTCTGAAAAGAAAAGAAGAAAAAACAAAAACAAAACGGACTCACTATTGTTTAAATTATCGAGAATATTACGTACAGTTAATAGACTGCTTCATATATGTGTGTATATATACATGCTTTCGTTATGATTAATAAAGTAATAATATATATACACACTAATAGTAATGAAAGTCCATGTGGTAACTTCTTGTCATCACGCTTCCAATGTGCTTTTCTTCTATCTAGCAAACCGCTGAGGTAATCACTCACGAGAACCACTGCCATACATCATGTGCGTGCATATATATACACACATACAAACCCATATTTCCTGCAAACAAAATCATTTTGCGTGACAGGAAAAAAACAAAGAAACGTTGCTCACCGTTCCACTATCAAAAAAACTAACCAACTCAATCAAAAACCAAAGAAACTAGCAGAGAGAGAGAGAGAGAGAGAGAGAGAGAGAAATGGATCAAGAAATGCAAGAACTGGTAGAAACTGAAGGAAATATACATAGTGCGGTGGAAAGAGGAACAATAACATCAAACCATGATGAATTGCGGCTGACAGTGGACGAGGTTGTCGAAAGACACGTAGGGAATTTAGGTGTCTGGCAGTTGATGCATGTGATGGTTGTGTCGGTGGCGTGGATGTTTGATGCGCAGAACACGTTAGTGACGATCTTTAGCGACGCTCAGCCGTCTGGTTGGGAATGCGTAGACAAGAAGGTCTGCGGCGGAGGGGGCAAGAGGGAAGGGTTGTCGGCGGTGTGTGGTTTGGCGGCTGGAAGTTGGGAATGGATTGGTGAGAGTAAAAGTTCTACCATTGCTGAGTGGTCTCTCATTTGTGACCACAAGTTTCTTGCTGCTGTTCCTGCTTCACTCTTCTTTCTTGGTTCTTTACTCGGTATAGAATTAATTCTTATCATTCTCTTTATAAATTTTATGATAGATTGTGTTTGTTTTCAATTTTCTAATATTTAATATGGTTAATTGTTTAATAAAAAATTAGAATTAGAGTTCCTGTTTTCTTAGTATTTTATTTACCTTTTTTTTTTAATATTATTGAATTTTGAATTTGAGGGATGACAAAAAAATATTGAATTAGTAGTGGACAAATCCTATGTGATGTTACTCATTACCACTTTTTAAATTGAGTCGATCAGATCAGAGTTAATTTTTAATTAAAACTTCAAGTTATATTGTGATTCTGAGTTTAATTTTTTTTCTTTGGTTTGAGTCAGCATAACTAGAAAATTCTGCTTATCTGGGTCTTAAGCTAAAACTTTTGGGATTATGATGTACAGATATATATGTATATGATTATGTAATCCATGTTTTGGTTGGCAGGGTCTAATTAAAAGATCTAGTTAATCTTTAATTAAAACTTGGAGTTACATCGTATTTGAGTTTATTTATTTATTTATTGGTTCGAGTCAGCATAGCTTAAAATTCTACTTATCTGGGTCTTAAGTTCAAACTTTTGGGATTATGAAATGCGTGTAAATATATATATAATTATTATATAGTTGATGTTTTTGTTTGGCAGGGTCTGCAATGTACGGCCGTCTAGCAGATGCCTATCTTGGTCGAAAGAGAACTCTCTTCTTGTCCTGTATCTTGACCTTCATAACCACTTTCTGCACATCTTTCTCCCCAAACATTTGGGTCTACTCCTTCCTCCGATTCGCAAATGGTTTTTCAAGATCAGGAATCGGAATTTGCTGCCTTGTTCTCTCCACAGAAGTCGTTGGTCGTAAATGGCGTGGTCAAGTTGGTCAATATGGTTTCTTCTTCTTCACAGCAGGCTTTCTTTCTCTTCCTCTCATCGCTTACTTCTCAAAAACTCACTGGAGAAATCTTTACAGAATCATTTCTCTTTTTCCTCTTCTCTACGCTCTTGTTTTCTACCCCTTTGTCTCAGAGTCTCCCCGTTGGCTTCTCATCAGAGGACGCAGTAGTGAAGCCCTCCGTGTTCTTGAAACTTTTGCGAGACGAAATGGGAGACAGCTTCCCCATCAGCTAACCCTAGTTGACCCGTCCGGAACTAAAGTTGAGAATGGGAATACAGAGAATAAGAAATCATCAGAGAGTCTGTGGAAAACGAAATGGGCTGCTAAAAGAATGGTGGTGGTGATGGTAGCTGGGTTTGGTGTTGGGTTTGTCTACTATGGAGTACAGCTGAATGTTGGGAATCTTAAGTTCAATCTCTACTTGACTGTCGCCATTAATGCCCTTATGGAGATTCCTGCAGTTTTCATAGGTATATATTATTTTCTTGTAGTAAAATTTTATATATATTTATTATTTTTTTGATAAAAAATTATATATTTCTTAATAAATTATAAATAGACAATTATAATAATATAATATAAAACATCATTTAAATCAGAATATATATAACAATATGATTTAAACTCATAAATTCATAAATTCATAATCTGATAATTTGATAAAATAAAATTATTAATGAATATATATAATAATTTTAACTAAAAATTTATATATTTATTAATTATTTATATATATTTACTCATAATATAATTATTAAAAATTAATATAAAAATTATAATTTATTTTATTAGTTAATTTAAATTTAAATAGGATTTATTTTTTATTATATTTGATTTTTATTTATTTTTTTAGTTATCAAAAATTTATCTTTTAAAAGATTTAATTCGTATTTATTCTTTATATATAATGTAATTAATAGTATTTATTTTTAAGATATTAATTTATATATAAATTTATTTAAAAATTATATTAAATTATTAATTTTACAAAATAAATAAATATTCAAATTTTCTTGACATGAAAAAACTCCAATAAGAAACAGGAAAACACATATTTACTCTAATCCAGAGTCTCTCAAATCTGTTGTAAAGAAATAGATTTATCAACTATATATACATATATATATATATATATATTATAGTTGTTAGAGAATTAAAATAATCAATCATTATTTTGTTTATACTTTTATCGAAACAGGAAGTATACTGTTGGGTTTCACTAAGCGACGGCTGCTGTTTTCAACGTCGGCTTTTATTGCCGGCGCTTCATGTCTTCTCTGCATCATCTTCACCAAAGGGTCTGGTTCTGCAAGGGGTTGGGCTCAACTAAGCATTGAAGCAGTAGGTTTCATGGCTGCTTCCTTAGCTTTCGACGTTATATACATTTACTGTGTGGAACTTTTCCCCACCAACGTGAGAAACTTCGCAGTGTCGCTTTTACGACAGGCTTTGATGCTTGGAGCATCTGTAGCGCCATTGTTGGTCGTTGTTGGTCGTCTGAATCCATCCCTGTCATTTGTGGTGTTTGGGTGTCTGTCGTTCTTCAGCGGAGTGTTGAGTTTGTGGCTGAAGGAGACTAGGAATTCTCCTCTTTATGAAACCCTAAAGCAGCAAGAAGAAGAAGAAGAAAAGTTGAGAACTGCAACGTTACGTGCATGTAATGAATCATCAGGATTGGAGCCTGGGGATAATGCGTTGACAAAAAATGGTCCTCGATTGTGATCTTCATGAATATTTGGTTTGATGGAAGTGTAAATTTCAATAACCTAAACTGGGTTTGTTTTTAATAAATAAAAACAAAGTTCATCAAAAGTTTATGGGGTAGAATCAAACAAAATTGATTGCAGAAACTGGTTTGCTTCCATCAGTTTTTGAGTTAAATCTAAAGGAATCAGAATATTTTATTGGTAATTGTATGATATAATATAATATAATTTATACAATACAAATCAAACAAAGAGGGTTTCTTTCACTATAGTTATTGTGTAATATAATCAATAAATAGATATAATTTATTTGTTATAGTTATTGTATGCAATACGGCTGGCAACAAGTAAAAGAACTTTGAAGAGTAGATGGTGGGAATATTTTTGGGCATGGTGGATTATATTGTTGAGTTGTGATATGCTTTAGTGAATAAATAATACATTAGTATAATATTAACCAGAATAGAAAGAAAATAAAAATGTTGAACTTAAATAAATAAATATTTTAAGCCTTTTATTTTTTATAAAATTTATTATATATAACATGTCTATGCAATGTGTAAGTATACTCTTATTATATAAATAAATATTAGTTGATTAAGCACCCTTAATTTTTTTTACTTAAAAAATTGTATTTTATTTTTCATTAAGCATCCAAAGACATTTTTATTACTCTTGATTTTCATGCATGGATGAATATGAAGATCTTCTATTTTCTCTTCCTATTGGGTCAAAGTGTTTTGATCCATTGGGATCTTGAACAGAGGGAGAAATCAAGGGAGGTCTGACAGAAAGAAAAGTACATCAACCAGTAAATTGGGATCTTGAACCTGAGTAACCATTGCATATATAAATATAGCCGAAAGTTCAGCCAGCAGATCAATGTTATCACACAAATGACACAAAATTGTCATTATCACATACCCTTATCAAGCATTGCCCTCACTCTCATTGGAAGGCCATAAAGCCGAATGAATCCAGCAGCATCAGCCTGATCGTATATTTGCCCACTCTCAAATGATGAAATATCCTGCCTGTAGAGGCTATATGGACTCTTGCGACCTGTTACAGATACAGATCCTTTGTACAACTTCAGAATCACAGAACCAGTTGTCGTCTCTGTAATTTTCTCCATGAAGGCATCCATAGACTCCCGAAGTGGGTCAAACCACCTACCAGCATAAACAAGCTCAGCATACTTCAATGCCAGTGAATCTTTTACTTGCATTGTTTCTCGATCAAGCGTTAAGGATTCCAGCTCACGTATAGCAGCAAAAAGGATTGTTCCACCAGGAGTTTCATAGACACCACGGCTTTTCATTCCAACAAGCCGGTTCTCAACTAGGTCAACACGGCCAATTCCATGTCTCCCACCCATATCATTAAGTTCAGAAAGAAGCATTGCTGGGGAAAGGTTCTTCCCAT